AAGGAAGAATAAATATCTTTGTTATGTGAACAAAAATTATAAGGATTAATGTAATAATCAAAATACTGAAATTAGTGATGGCAGATTTCATTCTAGAGACGCTCAGGAGGCCAGGCCTGGTGGCATACCCCTAGAAATCTGTAATGTTGGCTACTCTGGAGGCTGAGGCAGGAGGATCCAGAGTTCAAGGCCAGTCTATGAAACATTTTTTGAGCCCCTGTCTGCCTAAAAAAAATTGTTTTTAAAGTCTGTGGGTGTAGCTCAGTGGTAGAGTGCTTGCCTAGCATGTCAGAGGCCCTGGATTCAGTCTCCAGTATGGCAAAAAAAAAAGAAAAAAGAAAAAAAGAAAGAAAAGAAACTGTGGAGGAATTGACAGTTTTCATTCTTCATTGCCACAACTGGCTTCACACCTCTCATTAAAATTTCAGCTCTTATAATTAGACATAATTATTCCAACAAGTGAAAGGCAGATAAAAGTTACTTTGCCACATAATATTCTGAATAAACTGGATAAAAAAAATTTGGTCAGAATGCCATCATTTCTTTACTATAGCTCATAAGAAGGAGAGAGATGAGACCACGGAGAGAGGCACAGACATTTCTCAGAACCCTGACACACACCGCAGAATGCACACACTCTTCTAAGGAGACATATCCATCCTGCCTCTGGCAGGGTCACTGAGAATAAGGACCAATACATGTGCTGTACATCTCAACAGTATTAGGTAGAAAAACCAAAAATAACAGACTTTTGAAGTACATGTGAAAACATAAACTGAAATACTTATTAATAAAGAAGGTGATGGAAAATATTATTCACAAAATACCAAAATAAAATATTAAGAAAAAAGAGCAAAAAAAATGGGCAATAATATGGGTACTAATTCTATATTGGAGGTGGCAATATTTGGAACCATAAACCTCCATCAGAGCAAGTCTGCACTTCTTTTACTCCAATCTGTGGTGTAAGAGACAGGAATACATACAAAAATGGGAAAGCAGGTGCTGGAGTCAGATTATCTTATGCAGTCTCCAACTCTATCAAATACCAGCCTGCAAACACTAAGTATTTACCTAGCCTCTTCTATCTCATTTTTTTAATCTACAAAATGGTACCTACTGATAAAACACTTAACTTTTTGCCAGGAAATGTTTTAAAAATTTTTATCTTTTAATATAACCTAGGCTTGAAATTGCTATCCTCCTGTCTCAGCCTCCCAGAGTGCAGAAATATAGGCATTTGCCACCACACCCAGCTATTTAAAAGCATTTTTCACAAACCTATTTATTCATGTACTTCTCTTCTAGCCTTTTGAGAAAGAAACTAATATCCCCATTGAAGCATGAAGAAACAGAGGCTCAAAGAAGTTAGTAACCTGCCCAAGGACATACACAACTAATAAGCACCAAAAAGATCTCAAGTTCTTAGCCACTCATGCATCCTTTGAGGTGACATGTTAAAGCTCAGTACTGTCTCTGGCATATAGCACATATCCAATAACTAACACAAGAAATGTTAATAAATGTTTGCCAAATATTCACAAGATCCTGTGAGCTCAGCAAGTAAAAATGCTGTGATAACTGGTAACACAGGTGGACTGTACAATATGTTGATGATCGCACGTGTGCCCTTTTCACTTACAACAAAGAATCCCCATGTCTGACTTTCTGAAATTTTCCTGTCTCTATCTCAAAGTCCCTGGGATCTTATGTCATTCTGTTATCAATTGCCACCTCCATTCCCACTTAGTTGGCAAAGTGCTCTCACAAAAAACATTTTCATCACTTACTCCCTTTCAAGAACCTACACCTTGGGCTGGGGATTTAGCTCAGTGGTTTCGCCACCTGCTGCGCAAGCTCAAGGACCTGAGTTCGATCCCTGGTACCAAAAAAAAAACAAACAAAAGAACCTACACCTGGCTACCACATCAAATTAAAATTCTACCCCTGGCTTCCAAGAGTTTTAGTAAGTCACAGAAGGAAAAATGCCCTTAGCTTTCATTCAAGTGCTCGGATGTCCAAATAAATACTTGATACGAATGACCACATTTCATTATAATAATAGTGGTGTCTGTGTTACTTCCAAATGTTGATGAGTAATTTTATTTTATGTATTTTTTTTGGACAAAGTGCAATAAAAAATTGGACGTTACATTTTACTTCTATTCAAAATGAAATAAACTTGATCAGAGAAGTACCTAAAGGGAAGAATATAAAAATCTGCATTATTATTAAATACAATGTTAACATCTGGGTAAATTTTAGATAGCTTTCTAATCTTTTATCTTGAAATTAGATCCTGAATCACAGAGAGAACCGGTAATGATTGCAGGTAGAGCTAAAACAAAGAGAAAGCAAAACAGCTTAATATTTCAGATCAAATAATGTACTCATTTCCAAAAGAGTACCTTGAAAAGTTAACCAAAGCAAATCAAAACATAGGAATTACTGGTGCTTTTAGTAAAAGGCTGCTTTTAGTAAACACAAGTTACTGAGTAATCACCAGTCTGAATTAATGTCTCTAAGCTAACCACATCAATAGACAAAAATAACATACTTTCATTTGAAGAGAATCAAATGATACATGTTTTGAAGACTTAGCAACTTTCCAAATGTTCAACTGGCCCTTCCATTTGGCATGAGGAGATGCAGGATTGTACTAGAAGTTCATCTGATTTGCTTAGAAATGCAAATGAGTTTTTGACAAAAGCCACATCTAGATGTAGCTACATCCAGACCATTCCATAGTTGAATGTTCTGATGTCAACTCAGAATTTCTGAATGTACACTCACATCCAGTTGGAAAGTTCACATGTTCAGATAGCTGGAATAAGCAAGTCTACAGGTACCAATGCAGTAGTTTTTGTTTTGTTTTTAGAGAGACTGCTATTGTTCCTTCACTTAAGACATTTGGTCTTCTTAGCTAAATAAATATCAAATCTTATCTAAATAAATATCAAAGAGGCTTCAATTTGGTGACTTTTATGACTAAAAGCAAAAAATCAATAGAAGTCAATGTAGTTAGTTAGGTCTGGAAGATAAAGACGTTCTAGAATTTGTTATTCATTTGACAAATATTTATTGAACAGCTGTAATCTATCAGCCCCAAGGGATGGAAAATGATTCTAATATTTTCAGGGATGACCATGAGTCATTTCTCATAGCTTCCATTGAAAGCTGCTTATAAATCTTTCACAGGGTCAAGAAAAAATTATGACATTAGAAAGAATCACAAATCCAGTGAAATAATTAAAATGCCTCTAATGCCCAAATGCATCAGCCAGGAAGGCCTCTGGCACTGACTAGGCAGCATCTGCATTATTTCCTCTCTTATTTGGGGCCAAGAATTACCAGACTTTTCTCTAAAAGGCAATCTCTCATTCCCTGGGTTTTAGCTGTAAGTAAGCCTGGGAAGAATGCTTAAAGGAAGGATATGATTAAGTTGAGTTAAATCTTGTGTCCTGAAGGTAAGAAGATGTATTACTAACAATAAATACTTTAACTAGTTTTATCAGTCCTTTCTAGGAACCAATTCCAGAGACACCTCTCTCTCCAGGAGCAAACCTTTCTGCTGAGGGTGTGGGTCCTTTTACTGCTCTCTCCAATCTCCCTGAGGGGCAATACGAATCGGGTATTCAAAAGTCATGAGGCACACAACTCACTGTGGGTATGCGTGAACAGAAAGTGTGCAGCCAGTTCATTTTTCCAGGTAATTTCCAATACTACGTCATGACTTAAAAGACTCTCTAATGGAGCTAATGGTAAATAACAAGCATACTTTTCCAAGACATTAATATATGTTAAAAATAAACACATATGTTTATAGCATAGCTACAAAATGCCCAGTATAATCCAGTTGTAGAGTACATTGCTGAAGTTCAATTTAGCATCCATACTGAAAATATAAACTTGCCAACTGAAACAAGAAGTAGAAAAAGAAAACACACACACACAAAGGAGTGGCTTAATCTCTGTAAAAAGTGCTGCCCACGGGCTGGGGATGTGGCTCCGTGGCATGTCACTTTTGTGAGGTCTTAGGTTCGATCTCCAGCACTGTAAAAATAATAAACAAACAAAAAAAACATTACTCCTCAAACATTGAAACAGGAAACCAAACATTCGGGTGTGATTTATCTGCTGAAACAAATCTGTGTACTGACCTCGACAGGGCCTTCAATCATCAGACCATAAATCAGCATTCTAATAATATCCACTATATTTCTGGAAATGCCATAAACCCCAAATTTCATTTTATTTTCAACAATCAGCAAGATATTTGGAAAGCGTGCCTCCTGGGCCTTACTTTGAAGGATGCCTGCTTCACTTGCTAAGGCACGCTGACTTTCAGAAAGCAAACCACCACCCTTACCACCACCCTTACCCCCACCCCACAACACTAGAGAGTTTTTCAATCGTCCAGATTGCATGAATTACTTATTCCTAATAACATTCTCTTTTTGGTCATCAACCGGGTGAGGTTGCTTTAGAGAGTTCTGGAAAATTTATGTGCCAGTGACATCCTACTTGGTGCGTTTTACGAGGACTGGGGCTATCAGGGAAGGCTCATGTTATTCGCGTGAGAGAAAATGTTTTAAGAGTCTCACAGACACAGCATGAAAGTAACCCCACTAGAAAGGTGCGCCACACAACCCACGGGAGTAAAGGCCAGCTTTCCAACCCTCGTCCCTCCCTCTTTACATCACAGCCAGCGCGTTGGTCTCTCCAAATGTCGACGTTGTCTCCCTCCGAGACAGCATCCCAGATGTGAAGCAGGAAAACACGCGCACCCACGTACAGGTCCCAGCCAGAGCCCCGCCCCTCCACCGGAACCACAGCTTCCTGCCTTCGGTCAAGGTGAAACTGACCCGCCGCGCCCAGGCCGGACGCAGGGCTGGCTGAAAGGAAGCGAGCGGTCGGCAAAGCGCGTCCCCCACGCCCAGCGAGCCCACGGCCGTACGCCCGGGCCACCGGGCACCAGCACACGCGCGCGCCACACTCACCAGCAGCCCTCGGCGCCCGGGGCCCGCGTGGGACGGCGACCGCGGCGGCTGCCCGCGCGCGTGCCGGCTGGCTTTGGCATCCGTCCGGCCGCAGCGGCTTCTGCTGGAAGGCGCTGCAGCGGGTGGCCGTGGAGCAGGCTAGGAGGCGCCCACTCGCTCGCCGCGGCCGAGCCTCCTCCCTGTCCGCCTCCTCAGGCCAAAGGAGATTTGCTCGCTCTACTCTCTGGGCGTCCCGGCCTCCCCTCTTCTTCCTCCTCTTCTTTGCCTGCCTCCCCAGAGCCTGGGGACAATCGCGTCCTTTCGAAGCACTCTCGGCCTGGCAGACTCTGAACCCGCAGCAGCTCTCCCTGCCCAGCCGCCGCCGCCGCAGGAAAAGAAATTGTCACTGCGAGGAGCCCGGCCTCCCTGGCCCCGGCCCTGGCCCCTGGGCGCCGCCCCCGCCTCTGCCTCCTCCCTCCCCTCCCGCGTCCTGCGGAGAAAGCTCGCAGGTGGCAGCAGGTCCCTGAGGACCGCCCAGGGCGAGAGCGAAACGTTTGAGTGCGACTTAGCCTTCTGGAAACCGCATGCCTTCTGCTCAGCCTGGGGCCACCGACACCGGGGCTCCCCTCTACTCTGGCAGTTTCTTTCACACAAATGGACAGGCGTGGAGATTTGAAGACCGAGGAGCATAGAGGCGAGAGGCAGCTGGATTTGACCCTGAAACTGGCCTCCGATTGAGTTTTGGTGAAAATCCCGCGTATACCTCATGTAGGAATTCTGTTTTGTGATTTATCTATAACTGCATACACCCACCAGAAAGCACTTTAGCTCGCTCTCTTCCCACTTTCATGTACTTGGCAAACATATATATTATATCTTTTGGATGTTATTCCATTATTGTCACACAGTGTTTCTACTACCGACCTGGTACTGTGCCAGGCATTGGGTACATGTAATCTTGCTTATCTGCTACAGCCTTGCATATAAAAGTTACTTTTTTTCCCACAAGTAAGATACAGAGAAGTAAAGTTATTTACCTCAGGTTACTCACCTAGAAAGTAGTAGAAGTTGAAAGTTGAACTCTGACCTGGGGGCACAAACAAAACCAGTGTCCACCTCACATCAAAAGCTGTTTCCATTGGTTGAAGAGGTTCTATCATGTTGCACACGTTTTAAGAACATTGCTGCTACTAGATGAAATTCAGGCACTCGGTGGGCATGGTTGGGAGGCTCACCCCAAGTGGTAGAAGTGACCAAGCGTGGAGCCGTGAGACACCGGCTTTTCTAAGATGGCTTTTCCTCTGGAGAACAACCTTCTAGCTCTGGTTCTGTCACTCACCGAGGTACCTGGTCTTGGGCATTTCCTCTTCTTAGGCATCATCTCCTTGTATTGGCTTTTAAAACCAGGACCGTTAATTTTCGCAGTCTAGATTTTAAAGAAGCAATGGTATTATTTTTCTGATTGTGAATTTAGTTACACATTTTAAAATCCGGAAATTTTATAAAAATTTAGATTTTTTTGTTTTTCTGAAAAGTAAGATTGGGCAGTATTTGGTCTGTGGTCTGTTCTATCAGTTGTCAGCTGGAGGTGAGGTAGCAGGTGTTCCTTGTAGACTCCGAAGATGCTTTTTAGTTTTCCCTAATCCCCACCACTCCACATACATCCCCTATCTCTCTGATGTTGAGGTTGTGGTAGATGTTTGAGTTTTCAGTGCTGGCCTTAATAATATGATTTACTAAACAACATATAATTCAGTGATAATTAAGCAGGCTATGCAGATTTCTAGAAAGTATTATGAAACAAAAAACTTCCACATACATACTTATAGTGGTCATTGATGATGAATTTATGGTCTTAACTCCCTAGTATCCAAAATCCTCTCTCTCTCTCTCTCTCTCACACACACACACACACACACACAACAGCTAAGTGTGGTGACACATGACTAAAGTTTCAGCTATTTGGGAGGCTGAGGCAGGAGGATTACTTAAATGCAGAAGTCTGGAGGCAACCTGGGCAACATAGGGAGATCCTATCTCCAAAAAAGAAAAAAAAAAAAAACTCATAAAAGCCAAAATGGCCCAATACTCAGTGTCTCCTACCCCAGCAGCTAGGGCATCATCATGTGACCCAACTTCAGCCAATCAGAGGCTCCTACGTTGGTTTGAATCTGAATCCTGTGATTCAAAAAGACATTTTTGAAAGAATTCTGTTATCTATGAAGTGACCTTTGTGTCCTGGAACAATAGGGCCTGAGGTAACAGGGAATAGTGCCTACCTTGGCAGTGACAGCGGTGTCTGAGTGGGTTGTTTGTGTGATGTGATCAGCTCTGATTCCTGCCCGTACGGTAAGCCTGATTCTCCAGCCACCCATGGCCTTCAAATGCATTTCTTTTTCCATTAAGACAGCCAGAAGTGCTGTCATTGTCTGACACCAAGAACTAACACAGCAGTTTTGGGGTTGGTTCAAACTCTATCTCCCTTCATTAATTCAGTTAATGCAGAGTGAACACAAGTATATTTATATAATCTTATCTTAGAAAATTTTAATGTATCCTACAAACTTCTTTGCTTTTTGAGATTCAAGCTCAATAATAATCAAAATAAATTTTTAAAAGATAAGATTCCCTCCTTACTAGTCAATCTCAATAATAGTGAAAAACAGGGATGGGGAATGTAACTCAGCGGTACAACATCTATGAGGCAAGTGTGAGTCCCTGAGATCCATTCCTGGTACCAAAAAAAAAGGAAAAAAGAAAAATTTCATGAGACAGGCCCAAACTCTGCCTTATGCTTATGCTTGTGACTAAACATTCCTTTATTGCTGGTTAGAGTGCAATGAAATGAGCTCTCTAATCTGGTGGTGTAATTTTTATACCCTGCTGAAAAAGGAATTTTCCAGTATGTTAGCAAAAGTTGTAAAATGTACATACCTCTCTCCCCAGTAATTAATTTCACTTCTAAAAAGCAATCTAATGGAAGGAAATCTTAACCAAGGAATACAGTTTTTCCACTGAGATATGTGTCAACTTTGAGTATCAAAATATTATAGTAGGTTTTTAATATCATTGAAGCTGCTTATGATAAAATGTTAACCAAACAAATACACAAAATTGATACTCATATAATCTCAAATAAGTAAAAATGTAGGAAAAGCTCTGGAAGAATTTATTAAAATTACTTCTCAGAGTTTACTTATAGACAATCATACTTACCTCCTTGTACTTAATCATAATTTTAATTTTCCTACAAAGTACATGCTTTCCTATAGGAAAAAGAGATATTTAGTATTTAAAAATGAACAGCATTTGCAGCCAGATAAAAATGAAGTTATATTGATCACCTAGTTTATTATAAATATTTGGAAAAGGGCCGGGGATTTAGCTCAGTGGTTCTGCCACCTACTTTGCAAGTACAAGGTCCTGAGTTTGATCCCCAGTACCAAAAAAATAAAAATAAAATAAAAATAAATAAATAAATAAATATTTGGAAAATACATGAAGATAGAAATAAGTAAGGGAGGGAGGAAGAGAAGGCAGATTATTTCACAAAGAAGAATGATGAATTAGGGAATGTGACTCCCGTCATTTCCTCAGTTGATGGCTTAGAAAGAGGGCATTGCATTCTAAATTGCTTCATTAAGCAATGCTGCATTTGAGTACTTCCTAGCTGATGACAAATGACAAAACATTAATACTGTTCTCACTGGATGAGTAATAATGAAGCCAGAACTCAGATTTTTTCCCATCCCAAGTAAGAAATCAACTCTGAGAAACTGGAAGCCTCAGGGTCTTGGTATTCAAGACAAAACTTTTCTCTTCTTGTCTCTGGTTGGCCACATCAGGTGGTTTATTGCTCTCTTTGAGGACACCCAAAAGACAAGAGCTTGGAATGGTCTCTTGCTGTCAACATCCTGATTGAATCTTATTTCTTAAAACTGCCAGTACAAAAGAAAAAGTAAGCATGACTGTATTTACTTTGATCAGGAAGCTAAAACTATGTTCATATATTCCTCTGTTGGGCGCCTGTGCATAAAGTGGCAGTCCCTGGGGTAACAGCCACTCTTCTGAACATTCTTGTCATCATCAGATGGGATAGAGTCCTTCTTTTTTCATATTTAGAATATCCTGGCTCTGGGTTATTTCTGAAGTCAGTGTCTCCAGGGAAGAACAAATACTAAAATGTCCAAATGATTTTATTGGAAGAAACATTTATCTCAGATTTTAGTGTGTGTTTAAAGTATGTACCTCAGAAATAATTATATTCATAAAAGGTCCTGTTCTGAAAATTCTGGCTTTGTTGTTGTTATAGCAACAATTTTCAAAGTATGATCCTTGAAATCCTTCTAGTCTACACGGTTCAAACTATGCTCATAAAAATATAAGCATATTATTTGACTTTTTCACTCTCCCACTCCCTCCAACTCATGGGTTTGCTGTGGAGAGTTGCAGAATATGTGTGTGATGTCATGAAAGCAGACACAGATAGGGGAATCCAGTCAACTTTCACACCAGATATGAAAGAGATTTGTAAAGATAAAAAACAGGGCTGGGGTATAGGTCAGTGCAAGAGCATTTGCCTAGCTTCTTGTGCAATGTCCTGAATTCAAAGAAAAAGTTAAAGGAGGCTTGGGGTTGAAAAGTTTAAGAACCACTGACTGCTGCTAAAGAACCAGTATGTTCTGAATAACTTACTTTTTATTTGAGGACTTGTATTTTAACTAATACTAGTTTAGCCTGTGTCATTAAACACAGAAAGAAATTACTTCAAAAATGGTAACTGCAGATAAATTTGAGTGTTTCCACTTACATGTTTTTATTTTGGTTTCTTGTTACTTTCACCTTAGAAAATTTTACATCATGTCCAGCTATTCAGTGCCTTGAATGAGGTTCAAGGTTCAGAAATGCCTGAGACATTGTCCCTACCACAGTGTACAAACTGTCCTGTACCTCATCTACTTCAGCAAAGTTTTCCCACTGGAAACAGGACAGTGATGGCTCTAGATAGCTCTGGAGGTAGACATGAAGCCAAGGAATAACGAAACATTCTGAAAAGTGTAATGTTCTACTGACCATTTTCATATACAGGCATTTAATGAAAAATGAAAATTCTCACTTCAGCTGATATTATTTGACCCCTCAGATTTAAGTACATAAGGTATTAATCAATGTGGACCAAGTAATAATAATAGCACTTGAGTGTTAGAGTTTATTGATACAAAGCACGCGCGCGCGCGCATGTGTGTGTGTATGTGTGTGTGTGTGTATGTGTAAGGATAGAAAGGTAGAGGGAGAGTGATAGGGGGAGGGGGACAACATCTACTGTGAGACATGTCCTATAACAGTCACATCTTCCCACAGACTGCTCCAATGTAACAGAAATCCTTTTATCATAGTTTATTATTGAATAGCTATTTAGTAGAGTTAAGCAGTTTCCTTTTAAAAGAAAACATACTAGATACACAAGGTGGTAGTGTACTTGTTATAGAACAAATGAGACCACTACATATTTGTACAGGAGTGAAATACAGCTCTTAAGCTTATCTATGGCTATAAAAACAAAGATAGGACTTTTTCTAAAGACAGATATTTTAAAAAAACAGTTTTCTAAATACTATTTAGGCATGTGCTGCTGTGTTTAATTCTTATGTTCATAATCTTGATATTTTTGTCCTAATTTTCTTGGTATGCATAAAAATACCAC